AAAACGAACAGTGGCTGCGTTAGCCACTAAGATTTGAAGGTGGTTTGTTCCAAAAAGCCTACAATGTAGTTTGAGAGATAAGACCGGCACCCCAGGAAAATGGCAGATATAGCCAGCACTTAAAAAATGCTTATGATGAGCCTTGGGTTGTCCTCAGCACTTCACATATAATAACCTCTTCGATCCTCACTGTGAACGTCCGTGGTGGGAAATACTGATTATCCTTAATCTTCGGTTGAGGCAGCTGGGACACAGGGTGCTCAAGTCCCTTGCTCAAGGGCACACAGCTAGTAAGCGGCGCATCTGGGATCTGAACCTGGATCAGCCAGGCCCCAGAGTCTACGTTCTTGAATACTGTGCTGTCTGCTTCGCAATACAATTCAAGTGACATTTATTCAGCATCTATTTGTGCAAGAAACCATGCTAAATGCCGTGGGGGTTGAATAAAACACGTCTCTCTCTCCTTCAGGGGCTGATAATTACACACAAGGGAAAATTGAGAAGGATCTACTAAGTAATACTGAGTATTGAGTACTGAGTACCGAGTACTGATAACGTAAGAGGCCAAAGAAGGGAGAGCTGACAGTGCGGTGAGGGTAGAAAGAACCAACACCTGTTGAGCACTCAGTGGGCACCAGTGAGTTTTCACAGGCACGAACACATTCACGCCTTACCACAACCATAGGAAGTATGCACGGTTTTCATCCCCCCTCCCACAAAGCAGGAAACGGACACAGAATTTCAATGCCTTGCCCACTCACTCAGCTGGGAGATGGCTATGTTAGGAGGTACCCCCACACAGCCCGGCGGCAGAGCCCACGTGTTCACCCACTAGTCTGTCGCCTCTCGTGACTCCGCAAAAAGAGCCCAGGCTGAGGCTCCCAGATTTGAGATTTTGCCGTTTCCGGAAATAGGAGGCTGGGCTCCATTCCTACCCGCCCTTAGTATCGGTTTCCTCATCCATAAAACGAAGCTACCGATTTCTCCTTTGCTCACCAAATTATACTTCCGATTGGTATGATGGATGTTATGATCATTACTAGTATTGTCATTAGCTACTGAGGCAAACAAAAGAATAGAGAAGCACGAAACACGCAAGGGTGTGCAACCGTGCCACACAATGTCTTAGAGGGTCTGTCAGTTACAAGCAGTAACTCGGTCTTGACTGAGTCAGCTAAAGGTGCATAAGCCCAGTGGCAATGTTTCTTTATTGTTTTGTCGGGAGGCTTTCCATCAGTGCCAGTTTTCCCGGCTTGCTCCCAGGAAACTCCCCCCCCCCACAGTTCTACTGTTGTAGAACCTGCTAACGTTGGGTCATTCGCTCCGTCCTGTTCTACCTCCTGTGTTTGCGCCAGCAAGGCTCACTGAACATTGTTTGCTGTATCATTTGCTCCAGATCTTTACATGCTTCGGAGAGGAGCGCCTGTATAAGAACAAGGGGGAAAAGTCCTTGTTGTTCTTGCTGCCATGGACCATCTCCCACAAGCATCATTCCAAAGCATTATTTTGCAAAAGCTCCCGTTCACACCAGGCATGGGGGTGGGACGGACCAAAGGAAGTGAAGGGGGCAGGCATGTCTGGGAAATCAGAAGGAGAGTAGTCTGGCTGACGCAGAGATTTCATTTAGGTAATGTGAAGAATTTAGTGAAAGCAAACCTAAGAAACACAAGGTTCAAACCGGCATAGACCTTGGAGGAGAAACTAGTTTTTGCAACCCAAGCAGCTCCTGTTAACCTCTACTCATGTGCCAGCCAGCCTCAGTACGGGGTCTGTACCTGATGGGATTTATTGGACAATTGATTGTACAGCTTCATCCCAACCTTTTCCCAGACATTCTGCTTTCCGCAGTGAGCCTCTGCTCCTGGCTGGGGAGAACCAGTCAAAAACGCAATTGAAATCAGGGAAAAGGGCTATGAGAAAAGACACCGAGGACATTGGGTAGACTCCCCTCAGCCTTCTTTCTCCTTTTCTCTTCTCCAGCAGCTAAGCCTGGGTCTTGCCAACTCCTTTAAAATGTAACCAAGGGAACATGTACATCTGGCCCTTGAATGAGATGGCAGCAGGCTCAGTTAAGTTCAGAGCGATTTTGATTACATTCATGAGACAGATGATGTGATAAAATGAAGAATAGTAATATAAAGAAGACATAGTCCCAAGGAACTTAATAAAAAATGGGTAAACGATGTGAACAGCCATTTTACACACACACACACACACACACACACACACACAGATATAAATACATGACTTTTAAAAAGATACAAATACAGGAATAATAAATACAAGAAAAAATATTCAATATCACCTCTAGAATGGTGAAATGTAAAAGTCTGATTTTTTCAAGTGTTGATGAGGATATAGAACCTCTGGAATTCTCATAGAGAGCCAACAATATGAGTGTGATGGTACAACCACTCTGGAAAATAGTTGGGCAATTTCTTGGGAAATTAACCATGCACCTACATCATGACCCCAAACTCCACTCCTAAGTATCTCTACTAAACATATGGAAACATGTGTCCACGAAAGTCAGTGTGAAATGCACAGCGGCTTTATTCACAAGAGCCAGAAACCAGAAACAACTCAAACATCCACCCACTGGTTAATGGACACATTGTGATATTTCTATAGGATGGAATGCTTCTCCTATTGAGGGGAAAGACAAAAAGCCGGACACAAAAGAGTACATACTTTATGATTTGATGTCTATGGAATTCTAGAACAGGCAAAACTAAACGATGGTGTTAGAAAGTAGGAGACGGGTTGCCCCAGGCTGGGGCTGGGGTATTGTGGCGGAGGCTAACTAGAAAAGCATTTAAGGAAACTTTCTGGGTGATGGAAATGTTCTTCAATGGAGCATTGGCTGCATGGGGGTATACATCTAGAAAAATCAAGGAATCGTACACTTAAAGCCTGCACCATTTTTTGTCTCTATACCTCAGTCAAGAAAAGTTAAGACAAACACAAATGGATGCAATAGAACCACTTAAGAGATTCTTTAGTTATCTAGAATAATAATAATAATAATAATAATAATAAATAATGGTGGTGGTTGAAAGTAAGGACGAAGAAGTTCTGCAGATTTGAGAGACACCGAAGAGGTAGAATTAACAGGCCTTGGAGATACTTTATATAGGATGGGTGAAGGATAAGTAGGACTTGAAGATGGCCACTGGAGTTTTGGTTCGAAACGTGTCTCTCAGTTTCATGAAACACTGAAGCTAAAGCAGATTCGCGAAGGAAAGAAGACGAAAAGGCCCATATTCTTTTACACGTGCTTGTGCTTTGACCACAAACTACACAAAGAAGGTTTGAGTAACAGTGGGACACGCGGATTTGACTGGGAAGAGAAGTCGTTATCACACAACCTCTTGAGAGCCGTTATCGCATAGGTGGAAAGTGAGCTGTTGAAGAAGAGACTGCCGGGGCGCCTGGGTGGCGCAGTCGGTTAAGCGTCCGACTTCAGCCAGGTCACGATCTCGCGGTCCGTGAGTTCGAGCCCCGCATCAGGCTCTGGGCTGATGGCTCAGAGCCTGGAGCCTGTTTCCGATTCTGTGTCTCCCTCTCTCTCTGCCCCTCCCCCGTTCATGCTCTATCTCTCTCTGTCCCAAAAATAAATAAACGTTGAAAAAAAAAATTAAAAAAAAAATAAATAAAAGAAGAGACTGCCTAGGGAGAGAATGAGGAGCAAAGTGATATAAAAGGACTTTATGTGATGGAGCCCTGAGGGATTCCAAATGCTGAGTCAAGTGGTGAAGAAATGGCTGGCAGAGATAGAAAGAAAATAAGGCAAGTGACACCAGCATTAAAGAAAGAAAGGAGACGTCAGTCACACCAAGCTCTCCCAAGAGGTCAGGTTAAGACAAACATGGAAAATCTCCCTTAAATTTAGTAACAGGGAGGTCATTTTGTGGTCCATTCGGGATCTGAACAGGTTAAGCAGTAAATGGGAGGTGGAAAAGTGGATCCAGTGAATCTAGGTACCACAGTCAAGACAATTGGCTCTGAAGGGGGGGGGGGGGGGAAGAAGAGAGTGACATCAGAAGGCACATGTAGAGAGTTAGGGGAGGGCTTTACATAAAAAAGATATTTGAACATGTTTTGGTGTTGATAAAATTAGCCAGTAGAGAGAGAGAAAGAGATCAAAAATATATAGATACCATTTTCTAGAAGGTGGAGGCAGCTGGCACAGGTAGAGGGGCTTGACTTAGATAAAATGTGGGACTGGAGAGGAAGACAGGGTGAGTGGGTGTAGCTACAGAAAGTTTTAGTCATCTAGTAAAGAGATGTCAAAGATAAATAAACATTTTTTTAAGGGGGACACCCAGGTGGCTCAGTCGGTTAAGCGTTTGGCTCTTCATTTCAGCTCTGGTCATGATTTCATGGTTTGTGGGTTCAAGCCCCGTGTCGGGCTCTGCACTGACAGCTCAGAGCCTGCCGGGGATTCTCTCTCCCTCTCTCTCTGTCCCTCCCCCCTCACGCATGCTCTCTCTCTCTCAAAATAAGTAAATAAACATTACAAAAGAGAGAGAGGGGGGCGCCTGGGTAGCTCAGTCAGTTAAACATCCGACTTCAGCTTAGGTCCTGATCTCACAGCTTGTGAGTTCGAGCCCCCCCCCCCCCCCCCCCCCCCCCCATATTCCTGGAAATTGTTCCCAGGTCAGTGTGCAGTTGGAGACAGTGACCAGGCTTTTCTCAGAAGAGCAACCTGCCTAGTTGTGCAATCTTCTCTAGCAGAATTCTGTGGTCCGTGCCCCAATTATAGAGAAGGATGGTTGGGTTCATCTAGGGTCATGGTTTGACAAAGAGGACACCATGAAAGGAGAAAGGGTCAAGGAATTACGACGTTGGCCAGGGAAGAATGAAATGATACACCATGGAACCTAAGTAGGATAGGGAAGGAAGACAGGAGGAAGCTGGTGGATGGAGAAGACAGATGGCAGTGATGGACAGGGAGACTTAGTGCTGGCAAAGCACAGGAGCATTGGATGTATTTGAACAGCAAGCCAAAAGGGCCAGAGGATTTGTTGGAGAGGAAATGTCTACACTAGCGATTTCCACAAATAGAGTGTTTGGGGGAATGAAAGGGCCCAGCAAATGGGAAGCTAAGGTAGAGAAGGGACCACATGACTGGAGGTCTACCATACTGGGCGGGCCATCTCCACGAATGTTGAAGTGACTCCTAGCGACAACAGGAGCTGTGCCGGAAGCAAAGCTGCACCGTGCTTTGACGCCAAAGTCTTCAATAAATCAGAAGTGTCTCTGAGTCAGCAGATTACAGGAGCAAGAGGGGTGTGAGAGCAGCAGAGCCGAACAGCAGAGGATGAAGTTTAGAGGCTTGAGCAACACATCAACCCCCTGCCGCGCTGGACGATGTGGGGAGTGAGATACAGAGAAACTTCCGCTTGAGAAGATGACGGATGAAATTTCATCCCTAGAAGAGGGAACCAGGTTTTCTTTTAAAGCAAACGTGTAGGGGAGACTGTTAAGTGAAGACGGCAGTGTACGGAATTCTATGAGTGAGTGTGTTGGTCAGGAAACACATAGGTAGAGTATGGGAGTGGAGGTTTGGTCAAGGGGAAGAAGCACAGAAGAAGACAGATGCCCAGGACCGCTTTTGGGTGGCAACTGAGAAAAGAATGGAAGACTGGATGGTCCCCTGTTGCGCACTGGTCCCCGGGCTTCCTAGAATCCAGCCACGGCCGGGAGTTGGGGGCCGGCAGCTGGGGGTGGGCCACGAATTCCCATTCCTCATGCTCTGGCGCGAGGCATGGACTCCTAGGAGCAACTAAACAGCATTCAGGAGATTCTTCACCTGGAGGCAGTTGTCCTCGTCCTTTGGAGCTGGGGCTCTGGATCAGGACAGAGTGGTGCAGGGGCTGGTGGCGGTCAGGGCTGCTATGGTTGGGAACCCAGAGCTGGGTTTGTTCAATAGGTACAATTTGGGGACACGGGTCCAAGGAAATTGAGGGAACTAATGACAGAGTTCAGATGCCTGCCATGGGGTCCTGGTGGGTTGCTAGGGGGCAGGCTAATGGCCAGAGGACAACCAAGTCATGAGGCTGAAGGTTTATGATGGCAAAACATGGGTGTAGTTGGGTAGGGACGCTGGTCAGAGAATGGGAGATACAGTTGGAAGCCTGCCTATATCTAGAGTCCCAGCGGACAGCTAGCACTCCTCTTTGTTCTCTTGAGAAACAAGGCTGTCTTTGGCTCCCTTCTGGGCTTTCCACCCAATGCTGAAGTAGGTAAGAAAGATCAAAGATGTTTGTCTCCAGCAGAGGGAGTGCAGCACCACAGAGAAGCAGGCTTGTAATAGGCTTATTGTGTACTCAGAGGCCTTTTCAACTGCGGAGGGATAAAAATGGCGGCCGTTTGGAGTGATAGGAAAAATCAAGAATGGTCCATTCCGCCAGAAATGGAAAGCCTCAGTGTAAAGTCCACTGTTCATCTAGCCTTCTCTGAAGAGGGGTTAACTTTTAAGAGCTGTGGACAGCGTGCAATACATTCTCCCCTCCTGCCTGCTTCTTCCCCGAGGCATCTACGCTTGGGTCCCATGGAAGGTCCCTGGTGTCCCCACAGTTGTGAGATAAGGCTGAAAACTGCTGGTCCCCAGCAAGGTCATCACTGGAAGTGTACAGGCCACATCTCTCTGACCTCCACCCCATGCCCATCCACACAGCAGGTTTCCGGATGGTTCTGTGTTGTGGGATGAAGTTTATCAGGATGAGGACTGTGTAACTATGGCATAAAGCTTAGCTGCCAAAATTAATCATATAAATAATCTCGATGTAATACATTATTTGAACCATAAGGCTTTATGTGTTATAGCGTTTGGTCTTCCACCCTCCCGAAGTTCCTTCCATGAGCCCCTCACGTTATGTCCAGTCCTTCGAGGCCCCAAGCCCTGAGTGGAGGACACACTCCTCACTGCCCTGCCCACCCCCAGCCTCACTGTACCAGCCCTCTCCTGACATCACATCTTCATGTAACGACAATGCACTTATGCGTCTAGGTCCCTTTGCTCCTTCTCAAGGTATTTTCAATAGGCATTATTTTTCCTTTCGAGATCCGTATAAAAATTAATTATATAGATACATTTGTGTGTGTGCACGATTTGTAATTTTTCACCAAATCACTTCTGTATAAAACTCCATGCACTCAAATTATTATTGTTTTCTTTTACACTTGGTGCCCTTCCCTAAACCATTTTTCTCCTAGCTCTGTATAGGACCCGTACGTCTCCAAATCTGGGTTGGCTGCGTGAGATCATCGTGCTGTTTTTTTGCCAATCTCTCGCTTGTCCACGATTTCCCTCCGTGAGTCTGCCTAAGTGCCTGCAGTCTTATTCTCCGCGACCTGCCCCCTTCTCTTTTTCCCACGCGCTTCTACGCAGGAACTTTGTCAATGAAATAGCAAAATAATAGTGATGAAGAACACGGGCACTGGCCCCAGACCGAATGGGTCCAAAACCCAGCTCTGAGCAAGTTGTTTATAACTCTCTATGCTTCTGTCTCATCGTCTGTGTGAGAGCAAAAATAATGGTGCCTTCTTCTGGGCTGCTGCAAAAGCTAACTGTGCTAACACGTGAAATGTCGTTAGAGCAGTGCCTGGCCCGTGATAGTCAATGTTAGCTTACTATCAGTGTGACCTTAGCTAACAGATTGTTTTGTTTAACAATCGACACCATCTCTGATGTGTCCTAGATCTACGATCTCTGCACTCAACTGAAGACCTTTGTCGCCATCAGCTAATCTATTTCTATTTCAGGACAGACGCTTATGACACCGTTTCCAACAGCTTCCTATTGCTTCTTCGCAATCCTCTGCTCTGCACCGTATCTGATTTATGGCTTGTCCTTTCTGAGTTGTTCCTAAGCCGGGAGTTACGTTGAGCAGATGACATCATCTCGGTCTTGAGGAAAGGGTAAGGCCCACAGCTTTCCAGAAGATGCGCACCTCACCAGTAGCATCATCAAAATTTATCCCCGTCTCAGTTGAGGAGAAAGGAACAGATCTGCTTTTTCTTCCAGAATATGTGTGCGATAGAAACTTGCCAGAAAATAGAACTTTCACTTCATGGCAACACAGGACAGAAACACTTCCCGAAGCATATGCATTCCACTTGCTTTTTCTAGATGCTTTAAAATCTCTCTGGTGGGGCACCTGGGTGGCTCAGCCAGCTAAGCATCTGCTTCTTGGTTTCGGCTCAGGTCATGTCTCAGTTTGTGGGTTTCGAGCCCCACATCTGGCTCTGTGCCCCTGGGGCAGAGCCTGCTTGGGATTCTCTCTCTCTGCTACTCCCCTGCTCTGTCTCCCTCTCAAAATAAATAAACTTTGAAAAAATTTTAAAAATATTTTTATTTTTCCTTTCCTTTCCTGCTCTCCAGCCGTCCTGCAATTCCCTGCTCGTATGGATCCAAGCCTCCTCCCCGAACCTACTTGGGCCTCTCCAGCCAGTGCGGACAGCCTTAGGCTGGTTGTTTGCTAGGGGTTGGGAGGCACTGGGTGTCCACAGGAACCGGGGTGGCCACAGGCATGAGCATGGGCTATGGGCATGGGATGTCTGTTCTTATCAAAGGTCCTATAAACATTTGGGTGAGCCTTCTCGTTCCCCCCCCCCACACCCCCATCCTGGGCAGACTCGATGCTCTGGCACTGCATACAGCGAACACACCAGAAGGGTCAACCCTGGACACGCGACACTGGGCAGAGGGGTGCCCGTGATTGCCAGCAGCGTGGAGGATGGGGAATCTCTGTTGTTCTTCTAAGGACTAAAGGATCTTCTGGCCATATTTCTCTTTTTCGCATTTTGTTGCCGGAACACTCAGAGCTCCCCCTTCCAAGGTGACAACCTCATGACAGGTGGGTGGTAGTAACTCCACTCAGGCCTTATCTGGTGTTTTCCTCCTCTTACTTTCCCTTCCTTCAAACACTTCAAAGCTAACCAAGCTTTGGTATAGTGCATATATTTTGGTGAACTGCCTCGCATCCTCTTTGGACAGGGCTGGATAGAAAACAGAGAAAGGAAGACCTGTCCTCGAAGGATGGGCCTGGGGGGCCCCGAGCACACACCCTCTTCATTCAGTGTCTTCAGAACCAATATACCAGTTACAAGATAACTGTAGGAAGAAAGCAGCCAGGCCACCCACTCTTCCCCCCCCCCCCCGCCCCCCGTCAATTCTTGGCACCTGCTTTGCGGTGGACGAACGTGTACTTTGCATCCCGCTTTCCTGCAAGCTCTTCGACTGAGCTTTGGATGCAAAGGCAACGCACCCTAGTCTCTTCCACGCCTCCTTGCAGCTTGAGGGTTTTCCAGGGTGAACCAACTACACGGGCAAGAGAGCCCATGGGGCACCACACCCACCTCTAGGGTCCTCCCCAGATTCCGACTCCCCAACTTGCGTTTGCCACTTCATTCCGGAGGATCTCGTGCCCTCCCTAGGGCGGAGTCTAGCCAACTAAACTGGTAGTGTCACCGAAGTCAGGCCAAAGACGCCCCGAAGGCCTCCGGAAGGGAAGGCTGCTGGAGGGCGGGGCCGAGCAGCTGCCTCCTTGAACATCTCAACACAGACACACCCCTGAAACAACCACATTTTGCTTTATTAGGCGTTCCATGGTAATATAACACAGAGTTCTTAAGGAATAATAAACACGAGACTTTTTTTTTTTAACCATAATTATTTTGCCATTAAGACAGTGGTTACAAAAAAAAAAAAAAAAAAAAAAGTACTCTCCTGGCTACACACATTATCGGCTTCAGCACTGAAAGTTCCTCCACTCATGGGTCACAATCACAATTTCAAGGATTAAAAACCATCTATGTATTAAGTCCTACACTGTTTTAGAGCATCAAGTCACTGCAGTTATTCAGTTCGGAGACACTGTCCATTTATTTTCGCATTTACATATGACATTCATTTAACAGACACACAAAGCAAGCCAACAGATAAACATGCTTCCACAGCCTGCAGACATCTTCAGGTTTTAAGCGGCTTCGAGAAAACAATCAAAATAACCAAAATCGCCATGACCTGGTACAGGAAAAACAGGAAGACCCAAGTGAATACTATAAGAGCTGCAAGTGTTTCTTAGAATGGAAACCAAAAAAAAAAAAAAATCCGACTTGTTCAAATTTCCTCTAAGTGCAGGTGAGATTAAAAAAAAAAAAAAAGCAAATATATTAAGTTAACCAATTATTCTTTCAAAGTGCAGTTTCCTTTTAAAATAACAAATAAACAACGACGACGAGAAACTATACGCCCCCAGCAGAACCCCCCAAGGCAAAACGTAATGAGGGAACGACCGACCTTTTTTGTGTTATGCTTTACAAAAGCAGATTTGGTTTCATCAAAGCCTGCAAACGTTGAATGTCGCTTAAGAGAACCTGTAAACGCGATCGGGAAGGAAACGCAACACAAAACAGCAAAGACAGGGATGGGCACGAAGGCAGCTTGAAGGAAGGGTCGCTGAGAAAAGGCAGGGACGCGGACACGAGGTCACCTGCGCACGCTGCAGGGGGCGGGGAGGGGCACGTTTGACTTGTAAGGGTTTCTCCCCACAAGGGCTCTGACGGGGATGCTAGCCTCTCATTCAACAGATTCTTCCCCTTGCAAAGGAAGGTGCACTTGAAGTCAAATCTCCCCAGGATTATCCGAGTTTAGTAGGCTTCCCTGTACAGTAGCTCCCCCTTATCTGTGGGCTTGCTTTTCAAGGTGTCAGGAATTCGGGCTCAACCGAAGGCCAGAAGCAGGTGATCCTCCCTCTGATGTCCCGTCCAAAGGTCAGTAGCAGCCTGACGCTCCGTCACACGGCCTACGTCCTTCACGTCCCTTCATCTCCTCACATCATCACAAGAAGGGTGAGTACAGTGTAATAAGGTATTTTCCGAAACAGAGACCACAGTCACATAACTTTTATTAGAGTATAGTGTTACAATGATTCTATTATTAGTTATTGTTGTTAACCTCTTACTGTGCCTAATTTATAAATTAAACTTTCTCACAAGCATGTATGGGGGGGAGAAACAATATATATATAAAGCTCAGTACTATTCGCAATTTCAGGTCCACTGGGGGTCTTGGAATGTATCCCCTGTGTAGAAGCGGGGGGACTACTGTATTGCATGGTATCTTCCAGAAGAACTGAACAGGAAAAAATAATATTTTTTGCCCCAGAGCGAGAAGCCCCAGTGTTCTCTGGAATCCCCAAAGATACTTCGCTGGGAACCAGCAGGTCCCAGGGTCAGACCCTCAGCAGCTCAACACGTCTGAGCCGGTGGCTGGCTTGGGGGTAATCTGTTCACTTGGGTCATGGGGCTTGATTTACAGATTTGGCCATGTCTTTCTTTCTTTAGCTAGTTAGCATCGCATGGAGGAAAAACTTACGTCCTAAAGCCTCAGGTTTCTTCAACCTCTCATTACTGTTTGAGGTTCTATTCTGAGCCCCCAGGGGAGAATGTGGGGTAGCTCAGCCCTTCGCTGCACCTAGAAGCATCCCGAACTCAAACGCATATCCTGGCGGTGGCGGGTGGGTAGCACCAGTCATTTATGGACTAGGACAGCATATTACTATGGCTGCAATGACAAAACCTTTCTAGGCAGGTTCTGATGACCACCGCAAAACAGTAGATCTGGTCATTTGAAAAGACGACGGGGGATGGAGAGAAAAACATGGTCTCAGAGACAAGGGCTGGAGGAAACACAAAGAAAGAGACGTAAAAATAGTCATGAGCAAAAAAGCTACAGAGGGGGAGCACGAGAGAGAGACAGAGAGGGAAAGAGAGCAGAAAAGACGCTAAGGAAGAAGAGAATCCTCAAAAAAATGTAATCTGCAGCAAAAGCTAGGCCAAAAAGAAAACCTGCCTTTTTCAACAGTTGACCCAGAAGACTATGGAATGCAATGTCGACATTTTGGAGCCTCTCAGGGGGGATATGCAGAGTTTGCCAACCACCCTGAAGAGCTCGATGGTTACATAATTGCATCATTAGGATGTCCAGTTCAAACCCCTTGTATTAATATTGAATTAGGCTCCCCAATTTAGTATTTAAAAAAAAAAAAAAAAGACAACAACGCTCTCCCCCCTCCCCCACCCACCCTCTCCCCCAGCCCCACAAAGAAAACTTTAAAAATTTAAAAAGAAAAAAAGGCAGCTCTGGGCAATTCACTTTATCTTCCCGGCCCCCCCCCCCCCCCCGCGAAGGAAGATGAGGACAAGTACAACAGAGCGGGGAGATGAAAGGCGCCCTCGTTGTGATTCGCTTTGTGTCACATGTCTGAGTGTTGGGTGCGGTTCCGTGTATGGGGTTGGTGGGCAGACTTGGGTGTGATATTCGTAGATGTACGGGGAAGTGGGTGAGCAAAATCAGTGACTCCGGGTGAGGGACGGAGTGCAGGGCCCGAGAGGGAGCCCCATGAACTGGCTGCCCCACAGTAACTATCACAGGCTCTTAAAAAAAAAAAAAAAAAAAAAAAGGAAGGAAGAAGTCTCAGAATGTCCTCAGGTGTCCCATCCCCATCCCCAAGGAAGTTGCGGCCGGACCTCTAGCCCAGGCTGGTGATGTTGGCACGGCCACCAGGGGGAGCCACAATGCGCTGGGTGGTGCGGCGGGGAATGTTGTCGTCAATCTGAGCACCTGGAGAGGAGACAGGGACAAGGGGCCGCGGTCAGGGTCAGTAACAGTCCCACCAACGGTTCCTGCTTCACGCCGGAACAGCACAGACCAGGAGAAAAAGGGCCCGGCCCGTACTTGCGGTAAACTACATATAAAAGAACACTGTTTCAGCTGTTGATTGACTGAGACTACATCCTGCCCCTAATCTCATTAGGCAAATTAAGCGTGGCTTTTCTGAAGGTTTCGAGAGCCTTCTCCCTCGGCTTTTTATTCCCCTAACTCTGTATGTACCTCTGCTGTAATGTGCTTCCTGAGATGGGAATGGCCTGGTGAGATAAAATAGAAACATCATTGGGGCGCCTGGGTGGCTCAGTCGGTTGAGCATCAGGTCATGATCTCACGGTCTGTGGGTTCGAGCCCCGTGTCGGGCTCTATAGCTGACAGCTGAGAGCCTGGAGCCTGCTTTGGATTCTGTGTCTCCCTCTCTCTCTGCCCCTCCCCTGCTTGTGCTCTGTCTCTCTCTCTCTCAAAAATAAATAAATGTAAAAAAAAAAAAAAATGTTATTATGCCCGTTTCGCTTTCTGAGAAAACCAGTAAGGTTGGTTATTTTTTAAACTTTTGAAAACTGGTAAACCATTTAATGGCATACACAGTGACTCTCTGAAAACCAGCACTACCCGACAAGAAAAAAAAATCTACTGAATTAACTGTTTCTTTAGCATGCCATAGCATAGAGATCTGAATACTTATCTGGGGCTCAGGGAGCTTGAAAGGTGGAAGGTTTCTAGCCATGGGCCAAATGGAGGGGCTGGAAGTTTCAAGTAGGAAACTTCCTGAACGTCTGGACCTCTTCCTCTCACCTTCCCTGACATCATTCGCTTTCCCCGAACAACTAACGACTGTTATATATTTTTTTTTATTTTTTTTTTCAACGTTTATTTATTTTTGGGACAGAGAGAGACAGAGCATGAACGGGGGAGGGGCAGAGAGAGAGGGAGACACAGAATCGGAAACAGGCTCCAGGCTCCGAGCCATCAGCCCAGAGCCCGACGCGGGGCTCGAACTCACGGACCGCGAGATCGTGACCTGGCTGAAGTCGGACGCTTAACCGACTGCGCCACCCAGGCGCCCCAAACGACTGTTATATTAATGACTATGTATATTAACTCATTTAATCCCCAGCCCCATGAGGCAGCTACAACTCTTATGCCCATTCTCCAGATGAGAGGCCCGAGGCACGGCTGCACCTGGCTACAAAGTGAAGCGATTCAAACTCCAGAATGGTACCAGCTGAACTACGAGAATACACTGTACACGTGGGGGCGAAGGGAGTTCCAAAATACCACAACACCGTCTGTCGGGATGGACACGAGACTCTGGAGAAATGTCCTCTTAATACACTGGGTTGTATGTACTCGGAGCGTATGCATCAGGACACAGGTGACAGAAACTCATGTGAAGATTCTGAAACGCATCTGGCCATTTCATGTAAGTTACACCTCCGGGGATATTAGCGTTTCTCACCCACATCATTCTGGATTCTAGACTCGCTTGCTCCACTAACGTGGCCCTGCAGAACAGGGCCCCGACACGCCATAACCGTACCAGACAAGCTGAATCCAGACTGGTGCAGGTTCCGGACAGGAGGGGCCTGCTGCTTGGCAGGAGACGTCTTGGCTGAGGAGGCTGGGGTGACTGTCTTGGGCGTCACGGACACCTCGCACACGGGTCCGTCGTACAGGCCGCGGGGAACCCCTCTCAGTTCTGCCAGCTGCAAAACACAAGGGCCCGTTAACTCGGGCCACATTCACAGAGGACATTTCCCCCGCACCTCTCCTAAGAGGGAAGGAACAGCAGTCAGGACGGGCCTGTGAGATGTGCGGACGGAGGGCTCCCCTGACGGGCACATATGGCAGGGACAGAGGTCAGCGAGGAGCCAGCACCCACGGCTCCAGGCCAAAGCTCCCCCAAGGGGGACCGTGCATAGCTGGTTACTCCACAAAAACCGACTAACGTTTCTTACCATTTTTTCCCCAGGAACTTTAACTCACACCCAAGGCAGAACCCCTAAGCATGTTGTAAAGAGGATGTGCTCTGTTAGTTAAGATCTGGCCCCCAACTTCCTTTTCAATTTCACCCTCCCTTGAATTCCCTCGCAGCTCCATCCATTCCCTGCCTCACCGTCCCCAAGCACCGGCACTGTACGATGCCCTGAATACACTGTACATTTTCCATGCTCATGACATTCCAATTCCCTTGTCTCCCTTCTTTGACTTGTCAAACTCCTACTTAACCTTCCAAACCCAACTCAAAATGCCCTCTCCCCATGACACTTTCCCCCATGACTCCACAGCAGTGGCTGCCTCCTCTGAACCTCACTACTCATCACAGCACATACCACATCATACTTGATTCTGGCTGGCTTAGACATTCCTGACTCATCCGCTGGTATTCCGAACTCCAGAAATAAAAACATCACGCTTCCCTTTATCCCTGAACCATCCCCTCCCCCGCACCCATCTTGATATTCTAACTCGAAGTGTAAGCACTTTTGGAATCGAACTTAACCCGTAATAAAAACAATTCATAAGATCAGAGCTACTCACTCTGCTCCTCGCCTTGATACGCTTGTAAACAAAATCGGGGAAGGGCTTCCGGGGGATGTAGCGCCCAGAGCCTTCGGTGACATGAAGGGTGCCATCCTCCAGGACGATCTTCCCCTGGCTGATGACCACCAGTGGAGAGCCACGGCACTCCATGCCTTCAAAGATGTTGTACTCAAGAGACTAGGGAGAGAGAGCGCATAAACTTTAGCAGATTGCCTGTCGTCCTGGTGAGGTTCAACCAGTCTGGGGGCGCCCCCTACTCCGTATCACACAGATGAAAGAAAGGCCCAGAGATGAAGTCCTGTCCCAACTGGCCACCCCAGCAGGCACTCAACCTGTCTTGATTTCCCTGTCTAGAATATGGAATAATCTTTCCCTACTTCTCAAGACTTTGGGGGAAAAAACAGCTGGAACAGAAAAACTGTACGGAAAAGCGTGAAGGTTTGCAAATGCTACACAAATGTAAAGAAAAGGATTCCTTGCATTAGCAGCGGCTCTGTCCTCACGGACTCAAGCCCCAATCAGGTTAAAACCCAAAGGCTTTCTCTGACCAAGTTGCAAATTTCATTTTGAGATGAGCATCCATGAGCCGGCTTTCCTGGTTTTCCAATCTGTCAGGGATGTGGTTACACTGCGGTCCCTGAACAAAAAAGACCGTGGCAACTCGGGCCATGCCTTCAATAATGTTTGAAGTCTAGCTAACTTCTAGCTAACTTGCAGCGATCCTTCTAGCTTCAAGTTTTGCAGTGACCTCTCCATGTGTCCTCCTGGAAAATACGCAGGAACTTGATGTGCATGTGAGTTTGTTCTTGCAGAAAAAGGCAACGGAAAAGGGGAGGCACAACTCTTACGTGTCACAGTCCCATCCCGTGGCTTCGGCTCACCCACTGCTACTTATCCACAGTGCCCCCCGCTTCTTCCTGCCTGCCCCGTGCATCAGTACAAATGGCCGTGGCTGGAGAATCAACAGGCAGCTCTCACCTCAAAAAGCAGCCCGGCCTTCTAGAGAAGTCGGACCAGATTATCAGCACTAAAGGAGTCAGTCTGTGAACAGAGAGCGGTCACAGGACACTGCAGTTCAGGAGAACATTTCTGTTTGGCACAGTGGCTAGGCAGTGCGGGGAAGCGCCCGGCTGGCCTAACAGCTCACGTTCAGTGTCCAAATGCAGGGGTGTTGACTGAAAACTGCAAGGAAGGGGGCGCCTGGGTGGCTCGGTGGCTTAAGTGTCCCACTCTTGGTTTTGGCTCAGGTCATGATCTCACATTTCATGGATTCGAGCCCCATGTCCGACTCTGTGCTGACAGCGTGGAGCCTGCTTGGGATTCTCTCTCTGCCTCTCTCTCTGCCTCTCTCTCTCTCTCTCTCTCTCAAAATCAATAAATACTTATTTAAAAATATATATATTAAAAAACAAAACAAAACCCTGCAACGAAGGGCTGTCAGCACTGCTCTGAGACTCCCGTGGAAAGAATCCCGTGGAAGCTACCCAAGAAATAAGGCAGAGGCACCTGGGGGATGGGGAGGGGGCTCCACACATGCATTCTGGGACCAAAGTGTGCGCCCCAAGCCTAAGACTGCCTTCCATCCCTGAAATCAGTATCAGCAACAGAGCTGTGCAACCTGTCGGCCTCGATGGAACTGGGCTCTTCCAGCAGGATCCTTGCTTTCCCCCCTGGCCTGGGGGATCACCCCACTGGGGCCATTTTACATTCAGCGCTCAGCCTGACATTTTCCTAGACCATGCCGGTGACAGGAACTCGGACCACCAGCTTGCTGGAGTACCAGGCTTCAGCTCATCTTCTCAGCAGACACTTTTGCCTGCCAAAGTTGAGGCACACCAGATTCTCTGCTCCCCCCTTTCTCCACGGCGGATCCAGCTCTCGCCCAACCTAGGCGATGCACAGGCCAGCCCTCGGTAGCACAGTGTATCTGCAGAGGGGCCTCGTGTTACACGCCTCGTCTTGGCGTGTTTTCTCTCACAGCGGTACGTAAACTCAGGGAATCCCTCCAAATCGGAGGCATCTTAGACTGGGTGCAGTCCAGGTCCTGTGTGTGGGAACTCTGAGCAGGGTCGCTTGAATCCTGCCTCAGAACTCGTTTCTTCATCTGCCTCTCTCCCAGGGCTTTCGTGATGGTGACCGCACACAAGGAACCTATGTGCGTAGATCATGTTGTCAGAATCCTATCGTCTCTGAACTGACCTCTGACGGGGTGTGCGTCACCATCTGAGGGCATTAAGCCCTACCTCTTCCGGGTCACTCCGCAGCTAAGTGTCTACACTCTAACAAGCTCCTCTTCTGCCTTACCGAAAGACTGGGGACAGCTCTGGACACGGGGCCATCCATCCGCCCTGGGTTCGGATCCCAGTTCTGCCACACACCAGCCGTGTGACTCTGGACAAGCCCCTTACACTCCTGAGATTCAGCTCCTTGTCGACCAGGGACAAAACCTGCCTCACAGCACTGGCACCAAGATTCAGTGAAATAAAATGAACAAAAGCATCTAGCACGTTACTTGGCACAGACCAGGCATTTAGGAAATGTTCACTCCTCCACGGCCTGTTTTTTTTTGTTTGTTTGTTTTTTTTGTCCTTTCCCAATAAGACGGCAAGCTCTTCAGTTTCAAAGCCATCATGAGACGCATACACTGAGTTTAACTGCCTGTAAATGACTGATCACAAATGCCTAGAAGGGCTTTCGGCCATCTCTCATTTTCGCAAGATGGGAAGAACCAGCCCCATGACTCTAAGTGACTTAAAATGAGCAAGCCCAGTGGTTCAGATCACAGCTTAGGGGATACAGAAACTACCCTCTGTCAAACCACGAGGCAGGGAGGCTTCGCTGTTCACCAGGTAGAGACATTTTTAACCCACATCCACCCTGGCTCCCTAAAATAACTCATCTGGCTGGATGCCTGAAAAATCCAAGCAGAGGCTTAGCAACAGGGCTCTCAATGATAGTTAGCTAAATGCTCCAAATTAAAGCTAATTAGCCCGGTGGTATGAACCACTGTATTACATAGGGAAAGCCTCTCATTTGTATTTTCCTGGATGATTAAGGCTGCACAGATGTGCTCAGTAGGGGCCCTGAATCAGGTGAGGACAGAAAAGAGGCGCTTTTCTTACGTGGGGTTGCCTGGAGGTAAAGGCAGGCCAGTGCTGTTGCTCTGGAAAAGCGAATGTGTGAATGGCAGAAATCTGTCTTCTCGATTTTTCACATCCCCTCTTCTGCCAGGTGAAGGGCTCCAAGTGCAAACTCCCTAACTAGGTCATCTGCAGCTTAAATAACAAGTCCAGTTCACCCTCTATCACCTCTGCAGAAGGGACTGTCAAGGAGGAGAAGCATTTCCTCCATCGAAGCCTGACCAAGAGGCTGTACATGCAGTCTGGTAGGGAAGAACCCTGGACAATTTTGGCTTCTAATTCTGGCTCTACCACAAAATAGCTATGTAACGTCAGACTGGTCACTTACGCTCTCAAACCCTCCATTTACTTATCTTCCCAATTGGGGTAATGGTGCCACCCCTACATTGAGAAGGCCGGATGAAAAGTAAATGGGACTGTGACGTTCATGAATAAGAATAGCTAGGTTCACTGGGCAGGACCCCAGGAGCTCTGCCTGCAGAGGCCATTCTGGACCCCCAAGATGTTGTGATCTAAGTTACAAGTAGGTGTGGCTATAAGGCTATGCTGGGAAGCTAAGCCAGCCAATGGGGAAGGAGGAAAAAAGTCAACTCTACACATTGAGAACTGAGCAACCTTCCCAAAAGACATCCACCATCCAGGCACCTACAGGTGTCCACAGAAGCTAGAGGTGAGCCCTGCAGCCCAAGTACCTCTGTCCAAACAGGAGAGGCTTGGGATACAGCAAAAGGCCCAGAGCTGTCCTAGAGAGACCCCTGAAGCCCACCCCGGATCTGCCACGGCACCTGGGGGAGGTGTCAGTATTTACTGGCCCAGGCTATGTGGGGTGGACCGTCTAGAATCAGATTCCCTATGTGCCCAGCTTTCATTTTGATTTTTATGTAGAATATCCTTGTCATTCATTAAGATTTCTTAATGAATTCCTAAGACTTTCTGACATAAAACACTCGTGTCCTATGCCCATTTCTTTTCCCTTTGTGTATTTTCTTTCGATATTTAATACACACACACACACACACACACACACACGGTTTTTTCTATGAAGAACCGAAGGTATCTCACAGCTCTAATGCCACTGATCTCGCAAAATCACAGGACAGTCAGAGACTTTGTCTAAACCCCTTCAGGTCCACTGAGGAGCCTGCGACATGACATGAAGTCCCTTACCTAATGTCTAATTAATAACACAGGGCATCCTCAAGCTCTGCGGTGTAGACCAAGAAGCAAGAGATACCCTAAACCACAGATCCTAAAATCATGATCAGAATACTGCTGGAGATAGTTCTTCTATTTGGGAAGAAGTCAAAGTGAATGAATTCCTTTAGGACAAGAGCACCTGTCACTTAGGTTTCTGTCCAACAACACTGAAAAGCAGTGGCTTAAAGGAATCAAACTGTGCATCTCAGGGTGGACATCTGAACGTTTGACGTAGGTCCCTCATGGTAAGCACTGCCACGAGAGGTGTTGCATCCAACCACTGCACCCATGGGATGGTGCCTGACTTCCAGAAGCTTCTGATGTCCTGGCATGACTTTAGAGGCTTTGGAGGTCTACACACAAAGACCTCCATCTATAAAGAGTCCATGGGACTGCAAAATGGTGATAAGAGTAACAGTCTTACTGATCTCACCAAAGATAAGGAGATGGCTATTCTCAACAAATTGCAAGTTATACTATACCCCAGGAAATGTGTAATATATCTTGCGGTTCATTCCTATCACATCAAGTTCTTTCCGGGGACTCTCCCTCCCTCAGTCTCTTTCTGTGACTACAATTCATTCAGATTGGGTCCATGCAGTATAACAGGACTTACACTGTTGTGGGTCTTGGCAGAGATGGTTTTAACGCTGTCGGGGTCCCAGATGACCAGGTCAGCATCGGATCCCACAGCAATGCGGCCTTTCCGGGGGTACAGGTTGAAGACTTTGGCTGCATTGGTGCTGGTCACGGCCACAAACTGGTTCTCGTCCATCTTCCCCGTGACCTGAGAAGCACAGCACATACATGCACACACACCAAATGCAGGTTACAGAGTTGAAAGGAGCAATGTGACTTCGCAGAAAAAAAAAAAAAAGGAACACGCTTTGGATATACACCACAACTTAGACGAGCATAAAGGGCATTGTGCTGAAAGAACCAACCTCAAAAGGCCACAAGCCATATGATTTTATTTGTATCCCATTCTGAAAATAAAAAAGTTACAGAGATGGAAGACAGACGAGGGACAAGGTGAAGATTCCTCCAGGGGCCAGGGTGGCTATCACAGGGCAACACATAGAGGGTGTTTGTGGTGATGGGGGAAGTCTGGGTCTTGGTTTTGGGTGGTGGTTACATGAACCTACATATGACAACATGACAGAACCACACACACACTGTGTCGCTGTCAATGTGTGGGCTTTGATAAGGTGCCATAATCACTTGTTGGTAAAAATGGAGGAAGAGCACACAGGACCCATCTCTCTGTTCTGTCTTTGCTAACTGCCTCTGAATCTATAATTATTTGATAGTGAAAAGTTAAAAAAAAAAATTCTAAAGGGGCTACAATGCCTCTTCAGGAAGGATCACTTCGGGGAGCCTGGGTGGCTCAGTCAGTTAAGCGTCCAACTCTTGATCGATCTCAGCTCAGGTCATAATCCCACAGCTCGTGAGTTCGAGCCCCACGTCAGGCTCTGTGCCGACAGCGTGGAGTCTACTCGGGATTCTCAATCTCTCTCTCTCAAAATAAACAAACATTTAAAAAAAAAAAAAAAAAGGAAACAACATTTGGCCTCAATGACTGTCCTTTTCAAAACTACAAGTCCAGGCTCAGGCTTGCAGTCTAGCCAACCCAGAGGTCCCAGCACCCGGTTGGGGCACCGCACCCGTGTCATGCTGTAGGTGCTGATCAGTTTCCTCACGCCCTGCCCTGCAGTTTCTCATCCCTACCCCTTAAGTTTCTCTTCCCTTTCAACGCAGATCAGAGGAAATGACTGCCTGTCTCTGAGTTAGGGAAGCCACTCTAAAGCTAGGAGAAAAACGAGCCAAAGAAATGAGCAGGTATTAAGAGAGAGGAAAATACAAATGGCCAAGAAGCACACGAAAAAAAACTTCACTTTAATCAGTCACTGAAGAGATTAAATGTAAAACAAATTCACCCCTCAGATGGGCAAAGTTCTATTTTTTGATGACAATACCAGTTGGGACCTGGTAGAAGAAAATGGCACACACAGCTGGCAGCATACAAGTTGGTGTAATCTTTGTGGAAAGAACTTTGACGACACAGCAAAAGCCTTAAAGATATACACAACCTTTGGCCCAGGAAATAGCACTTCTAGAAATTTCTCCTACAAGCACCATTAAAGATCTATCTAAGAAGGTCTATCAGTTAAGCATCCGACTCTTGATTTCGGCTCAGGTCATGATCTCACGGTTCGGGCGACTGAGCCGTGCATCAGTATCTGTGCTGACAGCATGGAGCCTCTTTGGGATTCTCTCTCTCTCCCTCTCTGCCCCTCCCCTGCTCTCTCTCTCTCCCAAAAATGGATAAACTTATATAAATGTTCAAAGAATTACAAATGAATTACCGTCCAGCATTAAGATGGAATCTTTTGCTACTAATGACCAAGTTTTTCTAAGTATATTTAAGGATGCGAGGACATTTTCATAACATACTCTTTTAAAACAAGCCACAAAACAGTATATATGATGCCCGTGTTACCTACACTCTCACACACATACATATCGGATACACACGGGTACTCTTGCACTGGCAGAAACTGGAAAGACATTTGCCAAAATCTTAATTGCAGTTATCTGAAAGGGATTTTTACTTATTTCCTTATTCTTTTTGGAATAAGGATATATGGTGTCCATACTCGAAACAAATCATTAAGAAACAGAAAAACCTGTTCTGTTGTTGTGCTTTCAAACACTGAAAATGAAAAAGCCCAAAGACTCCTGAGAGGTCGGTGTATGTTCAAAGCAGGCCTGCCGGAAGCCTGGAGGGGGCAGAAATGCTAACCCTAGAGAGCCCTACTAGACAGTTTTAAGGAAATTATGTCCATTTCCCAGAGTAGAAGACTGACTGAGACGGTCACCGGGTTGCTAAGGAAGTTTTTTCCTGAATGATCAAAAAAGTCCTATTTTATTATTATTTCTTTTTTTAATTTTTTTTTTTTAATTTTTTTTTTTTCAACGTTTATTTATTTTTGGGACAGAGAGAGACAGAGCATGAACGGGGGAGGGGCAGAGAAAGAGGGAGACACAGAATCGGAAACAGGCTCCAGGCTCTGAGCCATCAGCCCAGAGCCCGACGCGGGGCTCAAACTCACAGACCGCGAGATCGTGACCTGGCTGAAGTCGGACGCTTAACCGACTGCGCCACCCAGGCGCCCCAATTTTTTTAATGTTTGTTTATTTTTGAGAGAGAGAGAGGGAGACAGAATCCAAAGCAGGCTCCAGGTTCTGAGCTGTCAGCACAGAGCCCGATGTGGGGCTCAAACTTGTGAACTGCGAGATCATGACCTGAGCTGAAATTGGTTGCTCCACTGACTAAGCCACCCAGGCGCCCCAAAGTCAAATTTTAAAGAGTCTCTGGGTTTTCTTTTTCAGTTTCCACTGATTCACAGACGATAACGGTAAGAAATATATATGTATTATTTAGGAGGAAAGGGCCACAAGGAGTGGTCTTGGATTCCCAAACCTAAAAACTCCTGTCACACCAGCACCAGCTTCTAGAATTTTCTCAACTGCCATGTCAAGGCTTCCAGGAGACCCAGGACCCTCAGAGGAGGCGGCCGGGGGAAGCGGACACTAATCCACGAGGGAGGCTCCCGCTCCTTACCACAGCCTTATCCCAGATGACGGACATCCGCTCCTCGGTGCCATTGGTGCCTTCGGGGATCAGGGTGAAGTTGTCCTTTCCCACAGCCTTCTGGGCAGTGTTGAATGTGCAGTGGGCACTGCCAGTGACCTGAAGATCTCCGCTGGAAGGAAAACACACGGCTGGCTTGTAACGAATCTCATACCCCAAAACATCCTTGGACATGTTTTTCTCATTTGCGGGGCCACTGACAGATTTCGAAAGAGCCTGTCCTCCCCTCAGGAGATAGGAGATTCGGGAAGAAGTGACACGGTAGCAAAGCTTCACACTACATCTCTTTTGTGAGGTGTCTCAGCTTCTGGCCACGCCGCACCACAGTGGGACCCTTTTGATCCCTCGTTCATTCCCTCCGGTCGGCTTTCAAGACGGCCCAGGATTTTATCTAGAATTTCCTGGCAGGACGACATCAGAGCGATAATCCCCTGTTCCTGCTTAGCCATCTGAATCTGGAGAACAGAGGTCCCTCTGTTTGCAAGCCTGCTTTTGCCCGCCATGCTGGACCCTGACAGGTCAGTCTGGTCCAAGGAGAGGCTGAGAAGGGGGAGTGTGAACATGTCACCAAGACTCACCAGGACAGCAAGGAGTTCAGGAAGTCCGGAGTGGTCGGGTCAGGGCTCAGGGGTGGGGAGGTGACAAAAGCGGCGGCCTTGGCCCAGTTCTTGCTCCAGTAGTGGGAGCCATCAGTCCCCAAGCTGGCGGTGATGGGCTCACCATACACCACGGTTCCTGTCCAACAGGAAAACAAAGCTCAGTAGGATACGACAAGGGAAGGAAACCACCCTACTGGGAACCACCAACGCCTGGCAGCAGGCCAATGGCTCGCCATCCCTTGCTCACCCTCTCGAAGGCAAAGACCTGGATGGCCCAATACGTCCACCTGCCAAAGTCACCAATCTAACGTGCGCTCCCTATGATTCTACCCCTGGGCCCCGCTCTTCTACCTCAACACACTCTCTTACCTCCTACACTGCCGATTCCCACGTCTCGTAACAGTCCCCAGCTCAGACTGCGTCCAAGCACCCGGTCTCGAGGGCTGTCTACACTCTTACTTTGGGGTGACCCACGGCACCTCAAACTTGACCTCACGGCTCATCAAATACTTTCTCCGCTTCCCAACATTGCCCAACTCTCTTTGCACGGTCCAGCTCTGGCTCCTGGACTGAGAGAGGAAGTCAGACACGGTATCAGTGGGCCTGAGGCGTTTGAGAACATGTATTCAGCCCTCCAGATGGGTCCAAGAGACAGCCTGGATCCCTGAGTCACTGCCTGAAGGCAGCTGTCCTTGAGAGCCACCAGATGCAGCACCAACTCGGTGAGACTGAGAAACAAAGGACTCTGCACAGTGATGCTACTCAGACGTCAGTGTATCCGGAAGCTTGGTCCAACTTCATACACTGTCCAAGAATGTCGATTCCCTGATGCTCACTCAAATCACTTCCTCTTCTCTGTCCATTCAGGTGCAAGCCACAAAGTCGGGAGTCATCAACCCACTGAATGCCCGTGCTTCAACACTGTAAATACACCCTTCCCTTTCCCCTCGCGTTCCTTCCCTTCCATCAGGCCTTCTTCCTTTCTCCCTGGCTCACTCCAACAGAGCCTCCCGATCAGAGTCGTACTTTTGCTTTTCCCAATGTTCCCAGGTTTACTTTCGCTTTCCCATCGTTCTTCCCTGCCTCTCTGCTCATTCTCCAGGACCCTTCCAGAGTGATCTTCCCTACGCATAATCTTCCCAAGCCATCCTCTTCCATAAACCCCGAAGGAGCCCTTCTGCTTTCGAGAACGAGACAAACTCCTCCCAGAAGCATCTAAGGCCCCTCATTATCCAGCTTCATGTTAAAGCTCGTCGCTTCCTCGACGTCATCTACGACACACCTGGTCCTCCCTTCCCATAATCATCCAGTTTTGAATTTTTTGATTCTCCGCTTGCGGAATTCCTGAAGAAAAGGAGTCAGTCTGCACACAGGAGGCACCCGATAAATGTGTGTCAAACTGATGAAAGGGCGTAATGCTTTCTTAGTTGAAGGCATCAGGGCTGGGATTTCACCTCAGCCAGCCTTAGGGCCACCAGGAATGTGCCTCTCCTTGCCTCCTTCCATCATAGGAGGGCTAACCCCACCCCCCACAGCAGTCAGCCAAGGATTCCCTCTTCTCTAAGGCCAAACACTTCCCAGTCAGGAATGTGCCTCCTTGCCCCTCCCCAGCCTCTTCCAAGGACTTATCTCTTGATGACATACCAAAACACCTTCTCTGCTGCCCTAGAGCCCTCTAGCCTCAGGAATTTCACAAAGGAGCCACTCTCCAGCCAGGCAGTGTTCGAGGCCACTGGCGGGCAGCTCATTTGAGGAAATCAAGTTAACCATGCCCCAGCGGGAGAAACCAATCCAGGGCTCCAGAACCCGGGGGGAGCCTCACACAGCAGGAAGCCCCCAGGCAGAAAAGGGCCAATGCTCAGAATCACCTGGAAGGGCTCCTGAGTTCCCGACTCACGCAAAGCCGGCGGGGCGGCTGCACAAACTGCCCCCGCTCATCCCGAAGTGGAAAAACACTGCACGACGAGCAGGCCTTCACTGCTGCCAGGGCCACTTATGAAATACAAGCGGCTGAGCAGACCAGCGCTGGGCCCTGGGCTCTCACAGGACCTGAGGCTCCTGGCTTTTGGTTTGCACATCAGCCCCACCACCCCCCGCAACTGCCTGAGCGGGATTATGGCTCTTCTGACCCAGCCAGGAATTAGGAAAACAAAGGATCTGTAACCCTAAAGGTTACCAGCTTGGGTCATGAGTAGGTTCCAGAGAGCAGAAGCCCTCAGAGAAAAATCCTGCTTAGACCATCCTTGAAAATCACTGGTTAAGCGCGGACGTTTTCCTGATTCTCTCGTGAGTTGCTATGGCTCACCCTCTCCCAGGACCTGCTCTTCAGTTCTCCCTTTGGAAGCTTTAGCACGAGGAGGAGCTGGTTCCTGGAACACCTCCTGGATCCCACCAAGTGTGAGTGCCCTTGACTGTGACCTTCATCCCACTCTACGAAACTCAGACTGGGGTGGGTCCCGTTCTCTCTGCGCCTGGGAACGTGCACCTCCCAGCAAAGGAATGAACCCAGCCTGCAGCCTCTGAAAAACCCGGAACTGGAGCGGCGCTTCAAGGCCACTGCGGACCCGAACCGGTCTCCTTAGGCCAAGGCTGAGCCAGGACTCCTCGGCCAGCGCCAGGCTAAGATGGGGATAAGGGAGAAGGAGGGAGACGTCTTGTAGCTCATCTCAGCTTTGTCCTGTTCAAATTTCAAGGGAATCAGAGGTCCTTGCTGGCTTTCCATTGATTTTTCTTTAGCCCCCAAAGGCAGGGCAGGGGTTAAACCAGCCTGTAGAAGGCCTCCTCCTCCAGGGAGAGGTAGGTCCACAGGTGGGGGGCTCTGCCATTCAGGACTGATGGCCCCCCAGTACCTCCCCAGGGTACCGCTCCCATTTTATAAACACTGTTCCCGAGGGAGCCATGGATGAGCTTCCGGTCCTCCATCAGGCCACAGACACCACTAAACTGCGTGCCAGAAATAATAACCAATGATAATAATAAGCCACGAAATAGGCTTAAAGGGCCTTTCCACACTCCTCTAAATATACTGCTGACCCTCTCTTGGCGGCAGTTAGACCTTCATGACTTTCTTCTCCAGGGAGAGTCTGAACTGCAGGATGTGACCCCAAGCCAGCCTTTGGCAGGCTCTCTAGGATGGCAGGGAACTGCAAGGCCTTGGGGGTGGTGTTTATTCACAACGAGCCTGGGGCCTGAGTGCATTCATGAAGAATAAATGCAAGGCTGGGGTTTAGAAATGTTTGACAGCTCCTGGCTCTGACAGTTAAGTCATTTCCCATTAACTAGAAGCAAGAGGACAAATCCAGAGCAGAAACCATGGAAAACCATGTAGATGTATTTCAAAACACAGCCACAAAAGCACATTATAAAACCAACTGGGACAGTGACTCACTCTCACTTTCTCTCTCTCTCTCTCTCTCCTCTCAGAGAACCTAAGCCAGAACTCAACAGCCTAGGGCTCGTCCATGGATAACCCTGTCAGATTTTGGTACCAAGGGTGGTTCCAGAGGAACAGAATCAAAAGTTTTCTGAATTGATTCTGGGGTTTCTAGAATTGCCTCTCTAATCTGATTTGATTTAAAGGCACTAATGCCTCTGTTAAACAGACGCACAAAATATCACCACTGCATACGCCTTATACTTATCATAAGAGGCTAAGTCTGGGTTGACCACAGATTTGATTCCTTAGAATATTGTTGGCAAACTGAGTAGAACACGATTGCCTGGTGGGTCCAAATAAAGTGGAGAAAGAAAAAGTTGAGGCCAGGGATTCAAACTCCCAGCCCGAGTGCTATATAAATGACCTGAGAGTTTCTAGGTCTGCCCTGAAAGAGACCTTCCTCTCTAGGAGTCTTTTTTTTTTTTTTTTAATTTTTTTGAATGTTTATTTATTTTTGAGGGGGGGGGGCAGAGAGAGAGAGAGAGGGAGACACAGAATCCGAAGCAGGATCCAGGCTCTGAGCTGTCAGCACAGAGCCTGATGCGGGGCTCGAACCCACAAACTGTGAGATCATGACCTGAGCCGAAGTCAGACGCTCAACCGACTGAGCCACCCAGGCGGCCGGCAGGAGTCTTAAGAGTTTAGCCGGCTGGAAACCAAACCCACGGAGTCATCCTGCTGTATTATAACACACACTGAATTCCCAACCTACCAAGGGCATTGACTGGGAAGGAATTCTGCCTCGAAACAGCCTTCAGACCCAGGCTGCAATATCCACTCTTCCCGGAGTCTCATCTCTTCCCTGCCCCTCCCCACCCTGCAGACTTCAGCCTTAACAGCAACCACATTCGCAAGAGCCAATTCCTTAAGATCAATCTCTTTTTTTTTTTTCTTTCTCTCTCTCTCCCTCCCTCTTCCTCCCCACCCCTCTCCCTCCCTCTCTCTTGTAAATATATACAACAATCTTCTGTTTCTCTGAAGGGCCCTAACACAGATTTTAGTGAGGTTTTATGACATTCACAAACCAACCCATATGCCCCTCTTTGGGTTCAAGGTGCTGAGGTGGCACATTAGCTTAATACTAAGGCGTCAATCCCCAAGTTGGGGTGGTCCTCGCAGGCTCGATGAACCCAAGTTTTTCATGATGCTGGAGTCACTCCTATTGGCCCACAGGGCTTAGGAAGTATTGGCTCAAGTGTGGGTTCCCAGGGTTTAACATCCCTCGGCGGTCACCAAATGTTCTAAACATTTCCGCATCTGGGTTACGGGGCTGGGGTGAGGACGATGGAGAAGGAGGTCTATCAGAGGAGGCTACCAGGCATGAGAGGCTACCAGGCATGCTACCATTCACATACAGAAGGCACCAGCAACCACGCTAGAGTTCACTCGTGAACAAAGTGCAGTCTGAGGGAGCCCATTCTAGAGAAATCCCCACACTAGACCCTCAGCGGGGAGACAGGTGGCCAGGAGTCTGGAACTACGGGCTGGATGATCTGGGGCAAGATATTTACTTTCTGCATTTTAATTTCTCTTCCACGAAATGAGCCCTATTAAATCAATCAATGTCTAAGTGCTTTTGAAGAGTAAAAATTGTCCAAAACAGTCTTTTTCTTGGCCGTGTCTTCATTTCCTTATCTGCGGAATGGGACTGATGATACACGGCCCTGCTGAGTGGCACAGAACGGAGGGGGCAGCGCGCGAAAATTTGGCTCTCTGGGAAGACCGCGTGCGGTCGTGCTAGGTCAAGTGCGCGTGGAAAACAGTCTCATTTATATTCATCTCACTTTATCACTTACCCTGTATGCCTTGTCTTAGGTTTAGGACCAGCAAGCTTCTAGGTGGGGAAGTGTGTGGACATTAATAAAAAGACATAAAATCATGATCTTTCAACAGCTCTCATTTGTAGAGCAATGGTGGGTCCCTCATGCAGCCTGACCAGTGAGACAAGGAGGGGTGTACATCCATAAATACTTGCCCCTTCCCTTCCTCTGAGCTCGAACCATACTTGGCTTGCCCCTCTTTTATAACATTGACCATTTTCCATTGTGACTTTTTGTCCATGTGTCCCACCCCTACGAGTGAAGAAGCTGGGGGCTGGGACCATCCAGCACCACGGCCTGAAATATCACATAATAAAAGTTTGCTGAAGGGGCGCCCGGGTGGCTCAGTCAGTTAAGCGTCCAACTTTGGCTCAGTTCACGATCTCATGGATTCTGAGTTCTAGCCCCACATTCGCCTCACTGCTATCAGCACAGAGCCCGCTTTGGATCCTCTGCCCCCCCCCTCCCCGCCCGTTGCCCCTACCCCACTCACGCTCTCCCTCTCTCTCTCAAAAATAAATAAATATTAAGAAAAAAAAAAAAGTTTAGGGGCACCTGGGTGGCTCAGTCGGTTAAGTGTCCGACTTCCGCTCAGGTCACGATCTCGTGGTTCACGAGTTCGAGCCCCGCACCAGGCTCAGAGCCGGGAGCCTGCTTCAGATTCTGTGTCTCCCCCTCTCTCTGCCCCTCCCTCACTTGCACTCTGTCTCTCTCTCTCTCAAAAATAAATAAACAACAACAACAAAATTTCGCTGAGTAAACGAAGAACCTCTCCATCTTACAGATGAAGAAATGGGGCGGCAAAAAGTTGACAGGGCCTCACGCTTGCCACCAGGGACCACGAGGACCCACCTGAGATCGAAAAGACTCCTTAGCAGAGAACCCCTATCTAAGGTTGGCAGGCATCTTCGAACCGGCCCTTCAATCCTCAGCCATGAGAACAGCGAGTACAATCATTACGTGTCTGTACGCACGTTACCTCAGTCAGGCACCACCTCCACTTACAAGACGGGTCGCTACTGCAGATGGAAACTGAGACCCAGCGACGGTAAGGGAGCTGCCCGGCATCACAGGCTGGCGCACAGCGAGCTGGGATTTGATCCAGGACGGGACACTGATCCCAGAGCGCAAAGACGTAACACAACCGTATCCTGTTTTCCTTCTCGGTTGTTTGGGAATCCTTGCTTCTGTATTATGCACGACGCTCCTCGGTGTCAAGCTCTAGTTTCCCGCAGGTTCATAAGAACCCCCACAGATACCAGCATTTCTCATACTGAAATAATCTTCAAAGCATGAAGGGTAATTCAGATATTCACATGGATGTTCAGGCCCGAAGTTAGGCACCTGACAGTCAAGGCCCGATTCCACCGCCCGTTAGCCGTGAGCTCCGGTTTACTCAGCTGCAAAGTAAAACCAAGTGCAAAAAAATTCCTGCCCGGGCGGCCTCCCAGAGTTGTTATGAAGTTCCAACAAGATGGAAAGAGCCTTAAGAGCCCACAAGCAAGCGAGAAGCTCACATTCTTGCTCATTAGCACCCAAATGCACCAGAAATTCCTTTCTGGCAGCTCAGGCCCATCTCAAGCAAAGGGTTTCAGAGACCAAAGGGTGACAGTCTAAATGCAAAAGCCCACCCCGGGGAACCATGATGCAGGCACAGTTGGACTGACACACGGAAAGTTCTAGAACAAAGAGACTGAGGCAGTCCCTTCTTGGTGCTCACTGCCCAATACACACACAGGGTCAAAGTCCTAAAGACGACAAAGGGACATCATCGGGCACCGAGTCACAGGTTACTGGAGCAGGACTGGACTCTACAGTAACACACATCAGTGCCACGTCTTGAAATGAAGAAACTGAGGCACAGGAAGTTCTCGAGACGCTTCAGAAGTGCCAGCAGGGCTGGCTCACAGGCCAGCACTGTGCGCCCCAGAGCAAGGCTAGCACCACCTGTCCGGGCCAGGGTCTGGGGAGAGACGGACTCCTCCCCCTCCAGCAGGGACAAGCAAAAGTCTGAATCAGAAAGCAAGTCCTCAGTTTTTACATGCTGTTAAATGGAATGTTTAATTACATCAAAATGTTAAAATGTTTGCTTAACTCCTTGTTTGTTATGATCATGTGGGTCCAGGATGGTTACTAAAATAAATAAAAGAAGCTGCTGCCTAATTTCCTCCCACTTTCCAGACACTGTGCCGACCGTCCCCAGGCTCCATGCAAGGAACGGTTCTGTGATTAATGTTGGGTGTTGAGATGGATGCAAACATGTGCCTGGGTGACAAAGGGCCCAGGTGAGGGAGGGTTACTGACACGAATCATCCAGTGTCTCCTGGAGAAACAACGCAAAGCGGATTCGGAGTGCATGACGTTATTTAGGGGAATGTTTATTTCAAAAAAGCAATTCCGGCAGCCGCCAGCAGAGGGCAGGTTTCCAAAAAGCTAGGAACCCAGCGACCCTGTGCTGAGCAGCCTAAGGACAGAGGCCCGGGGAGAGCTCCAAGGAACCGGGGCAGAAACTGCTGGGTCCATCTGGAAGTCATCATCTCTGGGGACAGGCTGACTCACCGGTCATTGAGCAATTTGTTCTAGGTCTTGTACCAAGTCACCCACCAGTGAAAAACTCCGACAGTGCTCCCTATGCCTGTGGATCACATCCCACAGAGAACTACAAACAGAAGCACAGAGGTCCAACGGTTCCCTTAAGATACAGAAAGAGATAAAGCGATAGAAAGAGACAGAGAGAGAGACACCAGGAGAAAGCTAGACAGAAATTAAGGGAGAAAAGATCAGGCCAGGATGCACCCTCACCAAGTCAGCTACCCACGGTCAGCCGGTCCCTGGAGCCACACTCCAAAGCACAGGACACGTGATGTGACTGCGCAAACTCAGTCGACAGCAGATTACAAGATTCCGCTGCATTCATAATGTATAAGGTGCTCCACGAACAGCCTTTGGAAGCAGCAGTAGAAGCCGTACTTAGTAAATTAGTTTCCAAGAACCTTCTCAATGGACTCCCTAGTACTAACAGAGCACCAGCCTCAGCCCAGGACCTATCAATATAATTTGTAAGGAGTGCCTCAAGCACCCGGAGAACCGGACACGAGGAGGCTCGGGGCAAGATCCCCTGCCCTACGCCCCCACAAGACTCTCTTACTTACCCCCACAGAAATCACTACCAGCCACGGAGCGGGGACTCATTTTGCAATAGAACGTTCCCCAGAAGAGTTCTGTGGCAGATGGAGCCTGACACCATCTGTGCATGTGCCTAGTTTATTTAGACTGCATCAAATTAAGCCCAACTTCGCTATAGAAGCAGGGGCGGGAGGGAAACGCGCCTGCCCCACCCACTCTTTGCAGCGCCCGGCTTTAAATAGATACTGACAAGGCGGCAGCGGTGGAACAGAGAGAGAAACCGGAGCTCCCTGCCTTGCTCAGCTGTAATTAGGTTAATGCTGGAACGCGATAAAAGCAGCCCGCTTGGCATGAAGGTCTGGAAACGGAGCCCTCCTCCCTTCCTGACCTGCCCGCGGTCACACAGCCGTGGAGGTAACGCTCACCCTTTTTCCGGGCCTGGGCGATGACTTCGGCCGCGCTCTTGCTCATCACCTTGGTGACGTACAGAGGGCAGTTGGTCTGGTTGGCGATGGTAATCGAGCGATTCACGGCTTCGGCCTCGACCTGCAGAAGAGCACGTGAACGTAAGAACTGTGCCCACTCTGTGCCCACTCCAAGGGCCGTCTTTACTCTCACCCCACCGAGAGAGGCCGAGAGGAACAAGAGGCCGCGGTGTCCTCTGGGTTCTACCCTGAGTGGCACCCCAGGAGGGGGAGGTGACTCTCCCAGTGTCACTCAACACTGTTGGGTGGAAACGACGGGGGCGTTTCCTTCCTAGACCCTTTGAGTGGCTTGAAGAGTGCCCAGCCGACCTACGACATCAGCGTCAGCCCAGAGCTGGTAAGAAACGGCGGATCTTCAGGCCGTTCCCAGACCCTCTGGGGATGGGACCCAGAAATGTGGTTAGTCCTAACAGCACCGGGTGATTTTTATGCTTTGCACACATGAGAAAACCACCAGGCAGGGAAACTGCTCCCAAGTCAGTACATTCGCTCCAGCTGTGTGGTCTTGAGTCGAGACAGTCAGTGGTGAGATTTTTGTGCTGGGCTTCTGTCCGACACCCACAGATGAACCCAAGGAACAGCGCGACCTCACAGGGCTCTGGGAACGGAGCAGGCTTGACTGGGAACGTCAAGCAACGGTCCTCAGCCCGTGGTAACACGTCCAAGGCCGCACACAGACTGGTACGGCCTTCCGCACGAGATGGGAGAGCTGCTCTAATAGACGAGTCTTTAAACCTGATGCTTCAATGAATAATATTTCAAAGACCCCGAGTGATTATTGCCAAATACCTGACCAGGTCAGACTACTGAGATCAAGGTATGCCTCACAGACATAGTGTGTGTTTAGAATGGGCAACTGAAGGACCACGTGAAACTGTAGAACGATGGATCTCAAAAAGCCTCTTGCTCCCTCTCAGATCCTGGAAGAAAGCTGTGGCTTCAACTCCTTGAGACAGAGGGCTGGGTCTGACTCCGAGTTTTGTGTCCTCTGTGCCCCACCCCCAGTGTAGCTCCAGCGGGACTACATTAGTTCCCAACACAGGGCCTGGTACACAGCCGCTGCCCCAACATGTTTACTGAACAAATGGATTCCTTTATGTTAATGGTGAAAGTGAAGCCGTTCTGTAACGAGCTGCTATTTTTTGCAAGAAATAGCTGAGCTCCTAACTGAATTATCTTAGCTAACCAAGTTTCTACAGGAGCGTGGCCAAGAGCTAAGGTTCTATAATTGCATTAACTGGTAATCTAATTTAATAAATGACGACAACTTCATTCACGTTTGCCCTTTCGGGCATCAACCATGTGAAGAGAGAGGTCTCAAAATTCAAAGGCAAACCAAATGGCTCTTGAAAAAGCTCATTAATCGTCCAAATGTTTTTAATTCCTGGAATAGCTGAGCCATTGGCCCTCCCTCTCCTTGACTCCAGTTTCAACAGAAGTGCCTCTGGCCCAGGGAGGCACAGAGGAGGGATAGCCTGAATCTCTGCGGTCACCTCAGAAGTCTAGAATGTGAAGTGCAGAAAGGACGCTTCTAGAATCTTCATGGCTTCCCAGGCGTGCCAATGACTACTCAATTTATTGGCTGAACACAAATCCTTCTGAAAGTGAACAGAGGCACTATTAATGAGTGCATGGGGGCAGCGGGCATGGCCTGTGACTGTCCTGGGTGAACTGGAATGTGAAATTGGACTAATTAGGGAATAAATGGAGCAAAAGTGCCAGTTCTACTGGGGGCCTACCCCTGCGGGACAGGCTTCCCAGGGCCCACTCTGGATTGTCTCATCCACTGTGAGGTGAGCTCTGGTCCCACCCCTGCTCCCGCAGATGCCGGGGGATGGCCGACACCTAACTACAGGGCCACCTCATTGAAAGAGAAGGCCACTTAGACCCCATCTCTCTGTGTTCCGCTCGGAACCATGGAAGGATCCACGTTTACCCTGCTGTGTGTACCTGTGCAGGCCCCTTACATGCAGGGAACTGATTTAAATAATATTGACCTAAAATATTAGGAAAATAGTATTACAACTTAAAATTTTAAGAAAATTGTCTCATTATAGAGCTCTGAAGGATTTGGGGGGGGGTCACCGAGACTTGATGATTTTTAAGACTGGACACCCCAAGATCCAGAGAGGAAAGCCACTTATCTAGGGACATACAACAGCGTTGGCACTCACTGACCACAGTGTCGGTACACACAACAGAATCAGAATACACAGCAGTGTCTGCACACAACACCCCCTCTGTGGCTCAGTCCCCCAAGTGTTGGCCTGCCCCAGCGGCAGTTCCAGAAAGCCTAGCCAGAAAGCTCTCTTCTCTGGGGAAGCCTCTTGGTCACCATCACCCTCACCCGCGTGTCCCCAACTTCCTTCCCAGATGCCAGCCTTTCGGCCCGGAGCCCCGGTCACATTCTACCCTGCCTGGTTACTTTCCATCTCTCTCTTCCTCTCCAGCTCATCCATAGTCCCCTGCTCATTCATCTCGCGGTCCCAACAGGGCCCAGTCATCATACATGTCGGGCACCATTGATGGACAGGTGGTTTCTAGATTGCCGCATTCCCTACAGTTTCCCTCTCAGTCTTCTCAGCTGGAAAGGCGGGGGGGGGGGGGGGGGGGAACCCCGGGGGGCAAACTCACGTGGTGGGGTGGAGAGAAGAACAGAGAGCAGCAGGAATGTGATTTGTGCAGCTCAAACCACGCTGACCACCATGATGCGGCGACAGATCACGAAACCGAGAAGGAATTACACGTTTGCATGTTATTAACCACTGCTTCATACGTACAGGGCGGTATCTCCCCACCTACACGGTCAAGCTCAAGTTCCTTCAGAACGGTTCCCTGTTTTCTTCTCTTTGTCGCCCACAGAGGGTTTAACGCGACGGATCCCTGGTGCCAAACTGAAAAAGCACCACCAGGAGCTGAGGGAGAAGGGGCCAGCTCGTGCCGGTGGCTCACGGGGCTGTTATAATGGTGCACTTGCTCAGGGGAAGCCCCCAACACTGAGGCTGATCGAGAGCAGGTGCCTCTGAATCAGCTGGGAAGCAGATGACCTTGGAAAGCAGAGAGAAGAGAAAGCCCCCCAAACAGCGGTTCATGAGGCAAGAGGACCCACCCCCGAAGCCAAGAGCTCCTCGAATGGGAGCACTCCAGACCTGCCAGCCCCCAGGGAAGGCTCCACGCTCCACTGCAGGGGACTCTGAGATTCTCCACGCAACAGCTGCTGGAGAGAAGTCTCCGGCGACTAACCATGGAAAAACGGGTTTGATTCTTGTGGTCAAAATCGCAACCAGAACAGCTCTCCCGTGACACCTTTTGCCTGCTCAGTAAACCCCAGGCTTGCTTCCTGTTTTCAAGTCTGCGGGGATGCAGGGATGCCGAGAAGACAGGAGGAGGAAGGAAAGCAAGCCCCCAGGAAGGCTCTTCCGAGTTCAGCAGGAGCAGGGCTCTCAGAAGTAGCCTCGTGTAACAAGGGAAGCGGCGCCTGCTCTTCTCATCTCAGTGTGCCGCACACTCTTGCCTACCTGCACAGCCACAGCAGGGCGGGAGCGGCCCCCAACCGCCCCAGGGGATGGAGGGTAGAGCACACTTTCCCGGTAAGCCCAGCCCCAGGTATCACCACCCGGTTACAGGGGCCCACGGGCTTTATGGTGAGCTTGGGCTCCCATGTGTGTGTGTGCGTGTGTGTGTGTGTGTGTGTTATAGGTACACACCTGTGTACAAAACCAACCTCAGGTCCTCTGGGCATCAGCCACTGAGACTGTCGCCCTCTCTCTCCTGTGAGCTCCTCCCAGAGTCACTGTCCACCAGCCCCAGAGGCAGCATGCAGCTAACACAGGGGCCAAAAGATGTCACCTTCAACCTCCCTCCCCCGTGTGCTGGCCCCAGCTCATCCCTTTGGCTCTTTAGCGTGCGTGGGAAGGCTGGATGGTCGTGGAAGGAGCTATACCCCATGGCCTGGAGAGGGACCAGACGATACTCAAGATGTAATAGGTTCCATCCCTCCACTGAGGAGAGGAAAGTGTCCTCAGGGCCACAGATGGTGTTGAAGGTGCCCCGGTGCATGTGTGTCTGCGGCTCTGTCCCTGTGTGTCTGTCCCTAGGAGTCTCTGTGCGTCTACGGCAACGCCTCAGTCTGTGTGTCTGTCTCAGAGTCTGTGTCTCTGTCTCTGTCAGTCTGCGTGCGTTGTGTGTGTGCACATGCAGTAAAAATGCAGAACGAAGTGTCAATCCTCAGTGTGCGGGACATTCCCAGTGCCTCCCCCTTCTCTTTCTTCTGCCTGTTTCTTCTGCTTTCCATAGATGTTCACCTCCTCAGGCCGGCTCAGCACGTGTCCCTCGGGGCCCGTGATGCCCAGATCCAGGATCCTCTGCTGCTCCTGCAAGGTTTAAAGCAAGCCAGGCCGTCAGGGAGAGCTGGACTTGAGATGCTCTGATCGCTAGAGACCTTTTACCCAAAAAGCTACTCAGGCGAGATGATCACTCGGCTCTTATGCCAGGGCCTTGTGAAGAGAAGGGTTCAGTACCCTGTCCCCAGTCCTGCCTGAGCAGGTGTTCAGCTCTCCCCCGGGATGCTGACAGCCCACGCGTGCCCGGCCCTGGGCCACAGTGTAAAATGTCTGTACGTGGAAGCCCATGTCGCCCACCCATAGGCGGCTGCCCTACAGCACGAGAGAATTGACTTCTCTGTGCAAAGGGAACAGGCCGTGCATCCCGTGGAATGCGGAGAGGCACACGTCCCCGACATCCACGCTGCTGGTGAGGCTCTTAGCACCGTGCCCAGGGCGGTCACACCAGGTCACCCTGTTTCTCCTGCTTGCAGCTGAGCCACAGAAGTGGTTTCCTGCTCCCGAGCCCACCTCTCACCCTGCACGTCATGAAGAAACGATGAGGAAGAGGGCCTCATACCTCTGCAATGATGTCGCCGTTTTCCGCGTGGACTTGGGCAATCGCACCGATATCCCGGATCACGCTCAATACTTCATAGATCTGGAGGAGGGGAGGGGATCAGAGACAGGGACGTCCATCTACCTGCTCACAGGTATAGCCACTCCCCTGCCGGCCACAGGGGTCAGAAACGGCACCAGTGGCCGCTACTGTTAAGGCTGGCTCTGTGGACAGGCCCCCAGGGCAAGGCTTCCGGCCACATGTGGCCGAGCAGGCCCGCGCGGTAATCAACAGGGGCAGCATAACCTAAGGGACTCGGAGTAGGGGAGGGTCACGGATGACACCTGGCTCTGAGTACATCTCTGGGCTACGCTGTCCCACAGAGGCAGGTCTGAGGCTGACTCCAGAGCCCCGGGGGCCAGTGCACTGGCTTCAGACCCTCCCTAAAGGTAAAGTTACATCAGGGAGTTCATCCACCAGCCATGTCCCATGAAGCCAAGGGACATACACACACCAGAGGCAGCTTCCAAAACAACGACATTGGCCCAAATGTACCAAATGCCTGTTCAGAAAAGGCAACCTTCCTTACCTGGGAATCAGTTAGCTGGAAGCGATCTTTGAAAGCCATGTACACCAGGAAGGAATTGACCCCTAGCGGACAGACAAAATAGAGAGGTGGACACAGGACTTTAATAAATAAACCAAATAATCTGGAAGCGACTAAGAAAGGTATAATACTATGCATATACGTATACAGATAGAAGAGGGACAGGAGAGACAGAGACAGAGGTGGAGACAGAAATATAAAGAATTGGTAAAAGAGGGTGCAAAAGCTTTTAGCATCCGGACAGTTTTTCTCTAAGTTTAAAACTATACCAAACTTAGAAGTTGCCTGTACCTCTACGTGTATTCAAATGCACAGCAACGTTATTCACATTAGCCAAAGGGCAGAAGTGTCCGCTGACCGACGAATGGATACACGAAATGTCATACAGTCATACAGCAGAACGTCACTCAGCCCGAAGCTGGAAGAATATCCTGTCACATGGATGAACCCTGAGGACATTACACTAAGGGAACTAGCCAGTCACTATAGGACAGATACGTAAGATTCCATTTACAAGTCAAATTTACAGAGACAGGAAGTAGAATGGGGGTGGGCGGTGCCTGGGTGGCTCAGTCGGAGGAGTGTCTGACTTCCGCTTAGGTCAAGATCTTGCAGTCCGTGGGTTCGAACCCCACGTCAGGCTCTGTGCTGACAGCTCGGAGGCTGGAGCCTGCTTCGGATTCTGTGTCTTCCTCTCTCTGCCCCTCCCCTGCTTGAGCTCTGTTTCTCTCTCTCTCTCTCTCTCAAAAATAAACATTAAAAAAATGTTTTTTAATTAAAAAAAAGGAGAATGGGGATTGCCAGGGGTTGGGGGTAGGAGGGACTGGGGGGTTGGTGTTTAATGGGTACAGAGCTTCAGTGTGGAAAGATGACAAGTTCTGGGGATGGGTGGTGAAATGGTTGCACAACAATGTGAATGTACTTAATGTCATTGAATGTGTATTTAAAAATGATTAAGATGGGGGCACCCGGGTGGCTCATTCAGTTAAGTGTCCGACTCTTGATCTTGGCTCAGGTCATGATCTCACAGTTCGTGAGTTCGAGCCCCACGTCAGGCTCTGTGCTGACAGCTCAGAGCCTGGAGCCCGCTTCAGATTCTGTGTCTCCCCCTCTCTCTGTCCCTCCCCTGCTCCTGCTCTGTGTCTCCCTCTCTCTCAATAATAAATAAATGTTAAAAAAAATTTTTTTAATAAAATAAAAATAAATACAAAGTGAAAAAATAAAAACAAAAGTTGCCCCCAGCTGTTGTGACTTTGAGAAGAAAATGAAATCGAATATTCTGTGAAGATCTACAAGATCTAGATCTTTCCTCTGGTAAACAGACTTCCATCCAAGCTGATTTTTAAGAAACGTTCTTGGGGCGCCTGGGTTGCTCAGTTGGTTGGGCATCCGACTTCGGCTCAGGTCATGATCTCACAGTCTGTGAGTTCAAGCCCCGCATCAGGCTCTGGGCTGACAGCTCAGAGCCTGGAGCCTGCTTCGGATTCTGTGTCTCCCTCTCGCTCTGACCCTCCCCTATTCATGCTCTGATTCTCTCTGTCTCAAAAATAAATAAACATTAACAAAAAAAAAGAAAAAGAAACGTTCTTAAGTAAGAAAGGGTCCAATAAGCTGATGTTGCAATTCTCACCCTGGCATTTCAGAGTCCTTGCCTCCCGAGGCACCAGACCAAACATCCCTGCCTGACATCCATCACAATGGTAAACAACTGTACTGACAACCTTCTAGTCTTGGAGTTTAATTCAAGCCACCTGGGGGTGCTGAACGCTGCCCGGGCTCAGTGGCTTGGGACATCCCAACCCTTCTCTCTGGCCAGGCAACAGTTGCTATGGTGACACTCTCGCCTGATTTGGATTCGATTCAGTTTAAGTATGGAAAGTTAAACCCTTTAAGACTCTGTATTCTCAAAAGCGAGAAAGGTCAAGGGTTACTTCTTTTCTTTTAGGTGGAACCTTTGTACCACAAAGAATCTTAGGATATCTAGTCCAATACCCTCATGTGATTTTTTTTTTTTAACGGAGACTCATGAAATTTAAGTAATTCCCCAAGGTCATATGGCTAATGCGAGGAAGACACACTAAACCCAAGACTCCAGAGTTTCATTCTGGGCGTTTTCGGCCGTATTCACGGATACCTACCGTATCCGCACCTACAGACTTCCCTCCTGGTATTTTACCCACAGCGGTACTCCTGGGCTTAGAAGTCGCAGAACCCGAAAGCAACAGGCGCTCCCCTGACAGTTAAGATCCCATGAAGCCAAGAGGTCACCCTAGGAGTCTAGTCTCTAGCCAAGCTCAAGAAGACCCCAGAAGATGAAGTGACTTGGCATTAGCACCTGAACTCCCAAGGTCCCTGTGGACAGAAGGGTCCCAAAGGCACCCTGAGGTAGTCCGGATTCTTCCAGCCTGCCTGGGAATCCTCCAGGGTCCAACCCCTGGAATCTGACTCCCTGAAATAGTCCCCTGGCATGAAAAAGACCTTTCAGGTTGTCCCAGAGCCTCCTCACCCTCAAGTCTATCCTGGTCCTCGTGGGTTTGCAGGAAGAGTCCCCCACTCGGCATCCTGGGCACCTCCTCCCCCCGCCCATGACGGTCCAGAATCCTCACTGGGACAGGCGTTCTTATCCTCTGAGGGCAAATCAGTCCCATGGCCTCAACTCTCCAACCTGGCTGGGCGCAGTTCCCTCAAACCAGTAAGCTGTGTGCAGTTGTCACACAGGAACCGGTCCCCCTGGTGAGGCTCCGTCCGGTTCTCCCGTCAATGAAAGCTTCCGTTGCCGCGCTGGGTTTGGCTGCCTCCGGTGGGCGCCAGCTGCGGCCCCACCGTCTCTCCTTGCAGGCATGGAGGAGAGGCACAGAGGGGTCTGCAAGCGCTATTCACAGAGCTCTCCTTCAGAGAGCTGTGCCGGCTCGTGTACCGAAATGGAAATATCCCCGGAGGTGCCGGTCAGCATAACCTACCGTGGTCCTTCACCAGGGCCTCTATCTCCTCCTGGATGCCCTTATGCCACTCCGTGATGTCCACGTGCAGAGAGTAGTCACAGCAGGACTTGCTGTCAGCCCACTCCCTCCACTGGTCGAAGGCTGCCAGCAGGCTTGTCCCGGGCTCGGGCACGACATGGTCAACTAGAAAAGAACAAACATTTGTCGTCATCAACAGAAGGCTCGAGGGCCACGGGTCAGCAGCAGTTTTCCCGTCTCAACCTTGAATAAGGCTTCTTGGGTCCACAACCGAGATGGTGATCTCTACAACCAGCTCCTAAGAATCCACTGAAACCAACGGACTCCCCGAGAGGGAGAAAGCAGAAAGCAGAAACCTTGGCATGGCACGATTACTCCCACGAAACCACGCATGAACTGCCCGGATCTGATTGCCCGGCTCAGAGTCCCTGAAAGCAGGTACCTCGGGACATCTCACGGACAATGAGTCCTTACGGACAATGGCAGTGTCAGATGGCCGTCCGGAGCTGCCAAACCTTTCCGTGTGGCGATAGCTGGCTGTGAGGCGCCCCCCACCAGACAGCAAGGAACTCGAAGACGCTGGACCCTCGCCACAAAGGCTGAGGCTTTCAAAGCTTCCCCAGCGTATCCAATCTCTCGTCGGCGCTCATATTTCTGCAGCATAATACCACTTTGTAATGTAAGGGAGATCTTTTCGTCTTAAGAGTTCAAAGCGTCTTTTAAAACAGTGGTTATTGTTATATAGTTATTGAGTTAGGCTGAGATGGAAGAAGGGGGGCTCTGGACTCCAGGTGAACTGAGTTTGTCTCCTGGCTCCACTACCTGCCAGCAACGCGCTCTTGGGGAAGCTACTCAATCGCCACTACCCTAAATTTCTGTGCTGGTTTAAAATGGGGATATTAACTGCTGCACACGTTTGTTGTGAGGATTAAAGGAAACAGCCTATCTATCGATCTTTTGTCATTCCCCTATTTAAATCTTCCAGTGGTCTCCCCTTAAGATAAAGATTAAAGTCCCCAACAAGGTCTGCAAGATTCTGCCCAGCCTGGCCCTTGCCCCCTCTAACAACATCACTCTGGATCAACTTCCCTTTGCACTCTGCTCTCCTCCAACCGCGTGGGCTACCTTTCAGTTCCTGCTCCCTTCTGCCACAGGGCCTTTGCACAGGTAGTAGTATCTCTAAGTCTCAGAGAACTCTCGCCCAGTTACCTTGATGAAAAGAGGGTTGCCAGAACAATTATTACCCATCTCCTGCACAGAGACACTAAAATATGCACTGCAATGACTTGTCCACGATCAAATCAAACTTAGGCAACAAAAAAAGACAAAACGCAGGACTCTTGACCCCTAAAGCAATGAATCATTCTTCTAAATAAAATATTAGGGGAATTTCCTACACCCAGGTAAGTAGTTCTCGGCTAAGAAAATGCCAGCCCAGGCAATGCCAGTGAGCTCATATTTCTGAAATGGATCAAATCTTGCAGACGCTGCTCAACCGTCATCAACTGAACTTGGTTTTGTACGTCTCAAAAATGTGCACATCTGAGCTGAATTGTCTTTTGATGAAATGTCCTTTTTTTTCATCAGTAGCCGTATATGTAATTAAGCGCCTAGTTGGTACTGTAATACGTATAGTGTTACCTAACGAAAGCAATGAGGATGTCACACTTGGGATGCAAGTCAGTTCCGTCTGTAAACTGCTAACAGAAACCCTGGCAAAACAAATCCAATTTTCTTAAACTGTGCCCCACCCCGCACCCCGCAAAAAAGGAGGAGGAGGGAGAGGAGGAGGGGCAGGAGGAGGCAGAAGACAAGGAGGAGGAAAATAAAACTTTGTTGCAAATACAGTTTGGACAGAATCTCCCTAGTCACGCCCCTGGCTTCGTCACTTGCCCCACCGCACCAGCCTGCATAGGCAGCCGGAGAGATGGATCTTGTCAAATCTTTCCCCAGATCCTGCCACTCTGCCGGTTAATCCTTCGGTGGCTGTCCAGCACCTTAGAGCCATTCAAGCTCCCCCCTTGGTCCTGTGGATCCAGTCTCATCTCTCCAACACTCTCTTGCCCCTCCCCCTGGTTCATCCCCGTCGGCCTCCTGCCATTACTTGAGCTGCCCAACTCCACCCGACCTCCAGAACTTTCCACCAGCTGTCTTCTCTCTCTGGACACCCATTCTCTTGGCTCTTTGCTTGGGCATCCCTGCCTCCCCCTCACTGGCTGAATGTCACCATCCCAGCGTGACATCCTCATCTGCAGTATTTCTGCATCCATCCCCCCTAGTTTGCTATCTGACTCCCCCACGAGGATGTAAACTCCCTCGGAGGAGGGACTGAGTGCCTGGATCGAGGAAGTGCTCAACAAACATTTTCAATAAATGAATACATGTTCCCTTCCAGCTCGCATGCCTCCCTGCAAGATCAGGTCAAGCACCAAAGGAGGTGGTCTGGGAACATGACCAGATTTTCCGGCTCAGCCTCAAGCATATGTAAGGAGGTCTGGTGCTAAGCTACTCAAACCGGAGTGTGTTTAAGAACTCTCTTGAGAGCTTATTAAAACACAGGTTCCTGGACATCCCCAGAGTTTCAGATTCTGTAGGTCCGGGCTGGAACCTGAGAATTTGCATTTTCTTAAAGTTTATTTATTTTGAGAGAGAGAGAGTTGGGAAGGGGCAGAGAGAGAGAGGAAGAGAGAGAGAATCCCAAGCAGGCTCTGCACTGGAAGCGAGGAGCCTGATGTGGGGCTCGAACTCACGAACCATGAGATCCTGCATGCCCTGAGCCTAAGTCACACACTTAACCGACTGAGCCACCCAGGCGCCCTGAGAATCTGGTTTTTAATCATCTCTCTTGGAGCTGCTGGGTCTGCCTTGGATCACTAACTGAGTGCAAATCTTTTCCCATTTTCTTCTCCAAGCACCTGAACTCACTCATGCCCATCTTTACCCCGTTTTACTACACAACAGCATTGCCACTTACAAAAAAACATCAGGTTCCCTGGCTGGAATAATACCATAGCCTCCCTCCATGTCCAAAAAACAGCTCCTAGGGTTACGAACTCTTGAAAACTCAGGATACAGACAAAGCTGAGAGCTCCAGGGAAATAAACATGTTTCCTCTAAAAACGAATGACACTCAGAAACGTGTCCATGGAAAGCCTCCTCATGTTTTCCCACGGTCCTTTCCCTAGGAGCTCTCTCCTAGGAAGAGCTGCCCCAGGGCACAGGGCAGAATGTCATCCTCACTTCCGGAGGGAGCAGAGATGACCCACTGGAAGACACAAGCCTGCAAAGGATTTGCCTGGAACTCTCAGGCCTTGTCCCCGGTGATTTCCCTAAGCTGTCCCTGCAAGAGCCTGCTGGCTTTTGCCTCGCAGCTGACTTTTTCCCCTTGTGTAAGACGTGAGGGAGAGCTCATCAACCCAGCCCTCCACCAGGAGGTGAAAAGAGAATGACCCTGGGATCCAAGAGCTCTGGGCTCCGTCCCGGTTCTGGTGGCACCTCTGCCCTGCTGTGTATACTCCACGGGAGCTCGATTTCTGCATATACAAAACACGGGCATGAAAGTACACGCCGTGCAGGGCTGCAGGAGGGTGAAGGAAGCATGGATGAAAGCACCTGGAAAAATGTCTGGCACGCACTGAGTTTTCACCCCCCAGGGATGAACACTCAGAAACACCCTGTGGTTTCCGTGGGAGGCCCATGAATCTGGTTTATGAGAGAGCCAAGAACATGCCCGGGGGCAGTGGCCTGAACTCAGAACTTACAACCAGCAGCCGGAAGTGCTCGCATCTGCAAGACACCAGCCGTTTCCAAAGGACGATTTTTACTTCGCTTAAAACCTAAGAACCGACATTTTTTTAGCAGCTTTACTGAAATGTGATTCACATACTGTGCAATTCACCCATGTAAGCCGTGCAACTCAGCGGCCGGCTAGTCACAGAGCTGTGCAACCATCACCAGCCTCGAATTGGAAAACCCCGTTCCCATCTGCCGCCCTTCCCCATTCCCAGCCCCAGGCAACCACTAATCTGCTTTGTGTCTCTGTAGATTGGCCCTTTTCGGACATTTCGTGTCAATGGAATCATACAGCATGTGGTCTTTTGGGTCTGGCTTCTTTCACTTAGCAGGTCTCCAAGGTTCATTCCTGGGGGAGCATGTATCAATACTTCGTTGCTTTTTGCCTTGAATGGTTTTGGTATCTTATTTTACTGGTTTTAATTTTTCTTTTTTTTTTTTTTTTTTTTTTTTTTGAGAAAGAGAGAGCATGAGCAAGGGAGAGGAGCAGAGGGAGAAAGGGGAGGGGGGCAGGAGAGAACCTTAAGCAGGCTCCACGCTAAGTGTGGAGCCTGACATGGGGCTCGATCCTGGGACCAGGGATTACAACCTGAGCTGAAAGTAAGAGGCAGTCAGTCAACTAACTAAGCCACCCAGGCACCGTGGTATCCCATTTTTATGTTTACTGGATATTGGCCAGGTGTTATACAACACGGTAAAGGAGCTGGACCTTGAAATTCAAATATAGAACTCCTCTGGAGTTTGCAGTGTTTAAAAGACCCTATTTTATTTTTAGCTTCTTACTTTGAGGTAATTGTAGATTCACCTGGAGTTGTAAGAGATCCTCAGAGCCTCTGCCCAGTGTCCCCCAGGGGTAACATCTTGCTTAACTTCAACACAACATGACAACCAGGAAGTCCACATTGACACAATCCAAGACCCCAAGTTTTCCAAAGGACAGCAGTTGGGGCTTCTGATCAGCTCCGGGGGGGGCAGCATTATCGAAAACACACAGAGATACCACCGCTGGCCCTGTTCAGGGAATTAAAGTGGCTGAGCAGGAACCACCTCCCAAAAGTCCGCAGGGGGTAAGCAGGTGGAGCGAAGAGGGGGACCCCTCCTGGGGCCCCCTCTGGCTCCAGCCTCTCTGAAGCCTCACCCACAGTCGCACGGAGGCCCACCTCTAGACACCCCGCTTGGTCAGTACACACGGCACCCTGCACCCCGCACGCCAGCGGTATTTATCAGAATTGCCCATCTCCTGCCTCGCATTCCAGAATCATCCTGACTCATTCTCTAGTCCCTGCACTTAGCTGCATGTGCGTCTGCTTCTCCCTTTCTCATCCCAGATGAATCAGGGGACTTGAATTAAAAGCAAGCCGTCAGGGAGACGA